TAAAAAAGAACATGGTAGAAAAGCTATCACTAAATAATTCCTACTGTTGTTTTTATAAAGCATTTTTCATCGGTGATTAAAATGAAATCCAGAACATAAGGAATGATACCATAAGTTCAGTTTTTCGTTTAACTTCGAGGAAAAAAAAACTCAAATCTACAACAGCAGTTTTAAGACACTGCACACATACACACACACACACATATATATATCTTGACCGCACAGGTCTTTTTTAATTTATTCTCCTTTCTTTCATTATATATATATATATATTTCTCGGTGCAGCATTAACAGAAAGTGATAACAATGAAAATTAACCATAATAAATAGTGTTCTAGTTCAGAAATGATCATCATCAGTTTTAGAAAAATATAAGAAAAATTAAAATTTCTGCTTAAAAGATAATAAATTAAAAATAATACATATTCTCATCATTTGCCGAACCTTTGTGCAATACCGTTGAAAGCACGAAAGCGTGATGTCAAAAACATACTAACATGGCGAAGGAAAAGGCTATTATTATTTTATGGAGCAAAAAAGATATATCAACCCTTGGTTTAGGAATAAATTTAAAAAAGTGAAAGATAACCATTTTCTGCTATTAATTTCGGGAAAAAAGAGGTGGAAAGGGAAAAAAAAAGGAAAGAAATAACACTAGAGGGCTTGTTAAGGTTTTTGAGCTCTCGCTGAGCTAGCCAGTTTACCAGTTTGCTCTTGGACTTATCCGCTAACATAATGTTTTCGTTTTTCTTTGGTTTTACTACTAAACATCGCTTTCTTCGAATTTACTCTTTTCAAAATCAGAAAACTTTTAAAAACAGCACATTTTTAAAATTACCGATAAAGTGTTAAATGTTGCCATACATTTTTCTATCTTTCAGCATTTCCTTAGTTCATCATATCTATGCTCAGTCTTCATGTTCGGTCCGGGGTTCGAATCCGGAGAACGGTCTGGCTGCATGGACGTTTTCGTGGTTTTGCCCATGTGTAACGTGTATGTGAGCCAGTTTCCTTTAAAAATCCTCCACAAATTCATCCCCCTCATAGCCAGATAGCCCTCGAGTGCTTTGCCATGATTAAATAAATCGACAACTTCTTCTGTTCATCTTATTCATGTTTGTTTTTTTAGAAAGGTGTATTATTAATTTCTTGTTGTGTAAATTTGATTAAATATTATTTTCTTCGTACTTATGCCCTATAAAATTCAACAGAAAAATCACGAAATATTTAAAACCAGCATATCTCTAGAAATCCTGACACAGGGTTAACGGTTGTCATACTTTTTTATATTCGTTATATTATTTATTAAAATAATACTTAGTGATAGCATTTGGTGGCAGCATCTTTTTATTTGAAAAGGGATAAGTACAAAACCATGAACATCGAGACTAATAGCACTTATGTGCCAATACAATAATTTTCTTTTTTGAAAGAAAAAAAAAACATTATACAAATGGCAGCAAACCTATTTTAATAAATGCTTCATGAAAGCAAAGCCTAAAACCTTAACCTTAAAGCTTAACTATAATACAAAGAAATGCTCATTAATGAGAATCTTTTTACGCAGAAGCATCAGAAAAAAAAAGATAAGAATCTGATTATTTTTTTCTCTCTCTGAAGGTCAGTTCAGCGTTTTTTAATTTCTGCCCATTTTAACCGGCCTGCATTAGTTAATTCTTGCTTAGAAGCATTTTAACAGTCCCCTTAGAAAGTTTATACGCCTCTCATAACTGTTTCTTCTCCATTACACTTTCTTGTTTGCTATTAAAGATGACGACGCATACTAAAACTTCCTTATTAGATGGAAATTCCGATTTAATTATGTTACTTGGTAACTACTGGCCTATTGGTGGCACGTCTGGCGAGTTTAAGATAGTTAAGTCTGTTCTGCGGTTTGAGAAAAAGAAAAGGAATCAAGCCTGGTCTAACTTGATCAATAAACAAAAGGGTAATGTATGGACATAAATGCTAGACATGTGGTGCAGGCAACCAAATATAGGTATCATTGCAAGAACAGCATAAAACAGGACTTAACTGAGTATTTCTTTTCAGTAGCAGCAGGAAACTGAAAATCCTCGACTGTGCCCATACCATTTTGAACGCAAAATATTCATTATTGTTTGATATTGATATTCATTATTGAAAATGAGTACTGATATACAGAAGATTATGTACGATTCATAGTATGGAAATTTGTACTTTATTTCTGCATCATTGAAAATGTTTTTATTGATTCATAGTGCAGTACATAGAATTACTTTAAAAATGGCTCAGAAAGTGTTCCTTTTAAATATCTAAACACCATTTTAAAATGTTCTTCGTCAATCCTTCAGAATAACATTTTATCAGTTCTATAAAAAAATAAAAAATCTGGCATACAGAATAACATACGGAACTTTTAATATGAAAGATAATATAAGTGCCTGAATAGAAGAGAAAATAATCAATTTGAAATTATTACACTCGTAGTAATCAATTTGAAATGTGAAGCATCAACAGTGATACAAGCGGAACAGCATCGTACAGTACGCTAAGACGTAATCAAAGAGTTCAGGAATACTGAAGATATATTAAGATAGCATTCTCATTTCACTGTCAGATTTCGTCTGGTGCAGCGATTAAATAAATACTACTTCAGATTTCTCTCCAGAAACAGGAAAGTGTCCTCATAGAGTCCAATTGCTGCTCTAAGTATGACTAACATGTGATCGAGTATTTGGCGCAGATTGTGCATCATGTATAATTTATATACACTCTTTTGCAAAAAAACTCGAAGTAACATGAAGGAAGTGGTTGTTTTTGATGAAATTAAATTAGTGTATAAGCTCATACAAACATAATAAAATGATTAAAAAATCAAGGTCATAGTACTTGTTCACCGCTCAAAATCTCCCATTCGGCAATGCATGCTTGAATTCGTCGAGGCAAGGAGTGTTAGAGGTTCCTAATGTCATCCTCCGACACATTCTGCCAGGCATCCATCAGTTGTCGCACCATATCTGCGATATTTTGGGGTGCCCGAATCTGGTGCCCTACAATGTCCCAGACATGCTCTATTGGTGAAAGATCTGGTGACCTTGCTGGCCAAGGAAGAGTATTAACGGCAAGGAGAGAATCCAGAGATATGCGAGCGGTATGTGGCCTGACATTATCTTGTTGGAAAATGACCCCAGGATGACGTGCCATGAAGGGTCATGCCGGTCGCAGGATGGTATAAACATATCGTTGAGCTGTTAAAGATGTACGGAGGATGACTGTTAAAGATTACCTACTGTCATAAAAAAATAGCGCCCCACACCATCACACCAAGGGTTATGTTTGTATGCCTTTTAAAAACAAAAGCTGATTGGGACCGCTGGTCCCGTCCTCTCCAGACACGAACACAGTGGTCATCTGCTTCAAGAGTGAAGCGGGATCCATCGCTGAACACTATACGATGCCAATCTGATGGCAGCCATGATTATCGGCTGCGACACCACGCCAGACGACTCCGCCGATGTTGTGGGGTCAAAGGCAAATGTCCTAAAAGCCTCTGTGAGCTTAACCTTGCCTCAGACAAGCGCCGTGAGCTGGTGGACGGTACCACGGGAGATATAGATGTGGCTGTAATGCGTTGAATAGTCGACAATAATACCGTTGGGGCGGTACGGGCCTGGCGAAAAATCATCCTATATTGCCCCTCGCATTTGTGATCCCTGACCTTCCAGAGCCTTCATTTCGTCGGCAATTGCCTTGCAGCAACCACTGCTGCCAACATCTTTGCACAGCAGTCGTTTAGTTTCTGTAAGGTCTTCTATATCGTCGTAATGGCATCTTTAGTTGCTTCTTCACGGAATTACAATTGCAGCAACAAAACAAAAAATAAATAAATAAATAAATAAATTTTCGGCCTCTGATACTGGTTTTATACTTTGCGAATTGCGCGCTATGATCGCAATTCCTGTTCACTTACCTTGAAACTTTAACCATCTGCAAGCGATCAAGATGTTTTTGCATACCAAATTTTGTCATGATCGCAAAAGTCCTTCTTTGTACTTCGATTTGCTTACAAAAGAGTATATATTGACATGTGGCTATGAATGCATTTTCTAATCGGAAAGCCATTTTTTGGACAAATTAACCAAGTTACTGGTCGCTGCGCAGTGTTGATGGTAGAATATGGAGTCCGATTGTGTTCCACCACATATTTATGAGGAAGCACATAACTTAACGTCGACTCTGGACAACGACAGTCTGGCAGCGATGCTGTTTTAAAAATTACAATACTATTCCTCTGAAAATTTTTTATCGTTAGTGTTAAATTCCTATAAATACAATCAGCTTTTCAACAAAATAACATTGATTTTTTACAAATAATGTACCGCTGCCGAAGATCATTTAAAAACCTGTACGATTGAAGAAAGTATGGGATTGACAAATGAGTAGAGAGGATTCAATTTTTCCCTGAGATAGTTATTTTGCTTTAAAGAAGTAACATTCAAATACAAAACCCAATAATTTCTCCCAGTTTAAAATCCAATATTTTATAGTTTAAAACCGAATATTTTACAATTTACAAGAAACCCAATTTAAAAATCAATGTTTTACAATTATTTCATTTTAAATACAGAGCATTAAAAAGTAAATTTAATCAATCTTTACAAGATTTGAGAAATTTATGCTGGAAGTTAGTTACAAATCGAGTAAATATTTTCGTCTTATGTCTAAAATATGAGTCTGTGCACAAAACACTATATTACAAATATTCGCATACGCTGTTTATATCTTTGTAAACATTTTACATTTTGATATGGCTGCTTTTAAGCATTCCCACGCAAGGATGCAGCAAAAGGAACATATCATTCTTGCTGTATTCTTTTGATGTTCCCATTTGTTACTACTATGGGCTTGAAGAAAACACTGATATGCCATTGCTTTATACTTGTCGAAAATATCAAATGAACACTTGGCATCACTAAACCATTTGTATGCCATACGTCTTATTAATTAAGTTTACTCACAAGATTCTTGGTTCCACATTGTCGTCCATGCAGCGGAATAGAAAGTGTGACGTGGCCATCATCAGTAACAGTCACGGAATAGCAGTCATAAGGATGTCCGGCAGCATACACTCGTCCTCGGAAAGGGGTCGAGACACGAACTACAGCTTTCATAGCAGTGGCTCCACATTGAACGTCCACTAAAAGAAAGTTTATTTTTATAACATTGGTTGAAGAATTTAACACAATTTTTTGCTGGGCATATTAAAAACAAAACTAGTCAAAACATGATTATAAATTGGATTTTCAAGGCTCATTAGAGTTTCTGCTTTTTTTTTTTCTTATCGAACTACAAACCATTACAAAAGATAAGATTATGTAATTTGTTTCCCATTTCCATTCCCAAAAGCAAAAAACAGCGAAGAAAAACATGCAGAAATATTTCAAAAAGTACTGATGTAATAGATATTTTAATAAATATTGATAGAATAAACATAAAATATAGATACATGTCAAATAAATATTAAAAAGTATTTTAACGAATACTGAATTTCGAAGTGGAATACACTGTAATTTATAAATATTTTTAAAATCGCATAAATTGTTTTCACGCTATTTAGTGTTCTAAAATGAAAGACTGAAAATATTTTCTTCTCAAGCTGTAATTTAAGGCTAAAATGTTTCTCCTTTTGGTTTTTGTTTTTGTTTTTTCCTTTTGGAGAACCAGCGGCCGATTAGTAAAGTCGTTGAATACTGGTAGTTCGATCTGAGGTTTGAATCTCGCGAACGGGCTGGCTGCATGAGCGTTTTTGTTGTTTTTGCTATTAGTAATGTGAATACAAGCCTGTTTCCCTTAAAAAGTCCTACGCGAAGGTATACCTTCTCTTAGACAGATAGCCCTCGAGTGCTTTGTCATAATCAAATAAAGCTAAATCTATTTTCTTCTTTCTCCTCATAACTGCCACCTATCATTCTGGTCAGGCCCACGAATAATATGCACTCAAGCGCAAAGTCAGAAAGTAAAAGAATTATGAACAAGCCCAAAAAATGTTTTAATAGATTGAGCTAAATGGCAACTTCAATAAGATGATTTGCCTCTTTTGTTGCTGCAAGAGGCATTCGGCTGTTGATGAATTAAATCTTCACTATGATGTGAAATTGAGAAAAAAAGAACAGAACCTGTTTGTTGATTAATTTAAATTACCATGTTACTGTTTAAGTAATGAAGCAGACAAATATAAAAAGCAATTATACGTGTCCTTGAAGTTGTCTTGATTAAATTTCTGATTTTTATTGCAAATATGTGATTCGAAATTTTGCATTAGCTGCTTGCTTTCCGGTATTGCATCCGCTTTCCGATAGTTGATGTTCAGTATTTCTGATTAATACTCCAATAATCGACGTCAGAAGCCAGATCTGAGTGTGCTTTTATTCCAAACACTCTCTGCTTGTGTAAAGAATAACAATGCAGATAAATTGTGCGCTGCTCAATGTTCATTTATGAACTCTTGCCAACGAGAGATCATGCTAATGTAAAATGAAAAATTATACAAAAGAGTAACCTTAGTTTGGCCGTAGATGTATTCAGGGTACTTGTTTCCACAGGCGTAAGTAAAAAAACAAAATTGCAGATTTTTTTTTCCTCAAGAAGAGAGACCCGCAATTCAAAAAGAATATCCAAATGATAACATTAAGCGTGATCCCAATAAGCAGAGTATATTGTACTAATTAACCAAGCAACATTCTAAAACTTAAAAATAACGTCAATGTCAGCTTAAGGGGAGTACGTAAAACAGCTGTCAAGAATAAAAGGCGGAAATCATTGAGTTTCTATGGATGGCAAGTTTGGATGAAAGATGCAATTAATTGAGACATTATAACACAACCAAATCTTGACTGCAGGTAACCTGGCATTGTAAACCTGGCATCATTTTATTGGTACTATATTACCGTCCAGGAAAAATAATAAAAGTAATCTCTTCATAATGACGACAATTAAATTACCATTAACTAAAAAATTGCTAGCTTATCAGTCTTTTGTTGCACAACTGAGATATGCCCTTTAAATTAAAAAATATATAAATATAACTAGTTTAGGGTTATAAATCTGATATTGAAGATTAATAATACTAGCTGCCATGAAAAGAGATACATCCATTCGGACGTGACTATAATTTCCCTTTGGTCTTTCGGGGTTTAATTTTAATTAATGGCCTACTGTTATTGACGCTACTCTATAATTATAATTGTCAAGCAACGTAAATATATTTAATGCTTACAGTAGCAAGCGAAAGAGAAGACAATGTGACAAACATAGGACAATGTTTATCCAAGATGAAAGATAGTATGAAAGGCCTCATGAATAAATAATATCCATCACTATAATATACACTAAAAACAAAAGGCCAATAATATCATTGCCCAAAACATTTTGGCTATTAGTGCATAAGTATGGCAATGAATATTTAAACTTCTAAGAGACATCATTTATATATTGATATAAGTTGCTAAACGTTGCCATGAATATCGGTGCATAATATTAGACCAATTAGCGAATCATGATTATGCAAAGCTCCCATAAATTAATCTTTCTGAGATAACCTGCTTATCGGTTTCAAATGAAATACGACGGATAAAATAACGTAAAATAAATGTCATTATTTCATTGAAAACTATTACACACACAGGCCAATGAATTAGAAACATTTGAGATTTTCAATTGATTGCATGCTAGGGATGAAGTATACAATTTTTGTTTTATGAAGTGGTTAGAATGCTAGTATAAGTAAGGTGTAAGAGTGCTTTTCACGATGAACGAACTAAAATGGGGGGAACGACAGATCGTTCACCATTTGAAAGAAGGATTATTGTTGATGCCCATTTAGCAGGGGCCTCGATTTCGAAGATGATGAAATATCTCACTGGGTTCTCAAAAGCAGCCATATAAAAGTTTTTCAAAAGTTGGAATCAAAACCCACAGTAGTTCTCTAGAAGACGTAACTGTGGTTAGAGCACTGTTTTTCAAGAGAGTGATCAGCATCGTCTACAGTAGAACAGGAACTATACTGTATTTCAGCTGACACAGATCGTCAACCAAGGCTCTTCCCAACAGATTTCAGTTCGAAACATGCGCAGAGAATTGAAGAAGATAGGACTGCATAGTCGGCTGCCTGTGAGAAAACCACTCATTTTTGCCCGGCATGCAAGAGTTCGTTTGCAATGGTGTGGGGAAAGAAGACACTGGATACCCGAGGATTGGAAAAGAGTAAGGTGGTCAGCTGAATCACGCTACATCTTATTTTGTACTGATGGAAGACATCAAATTTGGCGAGAGCCCCATGAAGCTATGAATCCGTCTTTCCTTACTTGCACTGCGCAAGGGTCTGGTAGGAGTATCATGATATGGGTCATGTTCTGCTGGTATGGAAGTGGTGCCCTGGTGTTTCTTGAGGGTAAACAAACAGCCATGATACCTAAATATACTGGTAGATCAAGATCACCCTGCAATGTTGCGTTTTTACCCTAATGGCGACGGATACTTCATGGATGACAATGCAACACTACATCGTGCCAGAAGTTTTCAAAATTGGTTCGCTGAACATCAGTCTGACTTCTAACACCTTCCCTGGCCACCGCATAGCCCGAATCTTAATCGCATAGACAATGTGTGGGATATGGTATAAAGACGCATCTGACAGTACTATATCTTCAATCTAATTTACAAGAGCTAAAAAGCTGCATAGCCAATGCATGGTATTCTCTGGACGTACATGCACTCCAGAAGCAAGTAAACTCGATGCCCAAACGAATTAGAGCAGTTATCCGTGCAAAAAGGTGGTCCAATTAAATATTGATCTTGGGTTTCTAATTTATTGGCCAGTATGTGTAGAATAAATTAAACTGAACATGTTAAAATTTAATATAAATTAGGTAACAGTGAAATGATAAGTTGATATACTTCGCTAACTGAATATGAGTTATTTGTTGTAAAATATGCCGCCATATCTTTGATTATAAACCTCATTACCTTGACGACATTCGAATTTTAATTATTATTACGTTAAGGTTAACGTAATAATTAACTAAATCATCAACTAAATTGAGCTTGTAAGATTTTATGTTTATTAACCAATTATTAGGATTTAAAGCTCAACTATAACGTTTTCTTTTCATAATAACCACCAGAATGCGAGTTAGTTGCAGACTTTTTAAGCTGAATGTTTTGAATGTTTTAGGGTAACAGCTTCTGGCAACCTCGCTTACAATTCACGTCCTATTGCCAGCTCGGCCGAAGTTTGGCATTTATTTAGCTGTTTCGCTTTAGCCATTTTTCTAGCCGAAGTTATAAGCGCGCCGTTAATTACTCTAGCCAGTTTAAGTAGACCATTTTGTGTGTAGTCTCCGACTACGTTACTTAAATTCAAATTTCAGTTTGTGTTATTTTAAATACACGCACGTTGCGCAGTTTCGTTTTGTAGCACAAGTTGTGCCTTATGTAAAATTTAAATAAATACATTAAGAGGTTATTTTAACCTTCGTAAGACTATTTTAGCAATAACGACGAAATAATCGGATTTGTACTAGAAAAGTAGAAAGATGAGGAGGAGGAGGAGGAGGGGGAGATGAAGACGGCACGCCAAGCAAGAGAGTTGCGTAGAAGAAAACTAATGAAGACTTGCAGATTTTAAAAGGATTTGCCAAGAAATACTCATTTATGGCCATGCATGACATTATGAAGCTTCATTGTACATTAGCAGCAAATTTTTAAAACTACGGTTACAACCTTGTAGGCAGGAAGGCATTTGAACTTATATGCCATCACGTGAAGAAATTCGTAATTTTCATGTAATAATATATATGGAAATTCTAATCTGTTGTTTAATTTTTTTACTGACATATAAATATCACATGTAGATATTTAAATTTTAAATGATTTGCACGATTTTCGATAACATTTATTCAATAATTGCCGATAGATCGAAAAATAAGACTTTGCATGCTACAAATGGCATTTTCTACAGATAGCATTGCAAATAATTAACAGATAAATTCTAAAGTTATATATTCAATTATCCGGAATTGATGAGTTCCTATTGCTACTGGTTAAAAGAGATTATACACTACTTCAGTTTCACCTCCACAAGGAATGATGTTTTGTAGATTGAAAGTGTCTTCTAGCTTTGGTAGGAAATTAGTCTGG